CAACAGAATTCCTTGAGCAAGGCCTGATCATTCCTTTAGCAGAAAGTTGCACACTGTATTTAAACAATGTGCAGCTTCCTGCTGCTTTTGCTGTCAATGTTTCTACTTCAGTTTTTGGCTAATATGCCAATAGTCCATGTTCTGTCTGTGACCAAAAGTCATGATTCTGCACTCTGATCCTCTACATGGGCACGTCCCTTATGCACAGAGTCAGTTGGGCTTTGCTTGAGGTCAGGGGTCTGTCCACATGGATCAGATTGCAGGATTGGGGCTTAAGTCCATAGATGTACTGAAGTTCTAAAAAGTAGCCAGCTTTTAGATAGGACTGCAAAAAACAGTCAGATTTGACTGTACTTTCCACACACTGACATCTCAAACACATCTGAATGGAATTTTAACAACCCCCCACCACACCACACCCTCCTCACACAAGTTAACTTTTGAACTGAGTCTTAATGTGACAAATTTCATCCCCAAAAGTAATTTGTGGGGAAAGTTATAAGCAACAGAAAATGGCACATATATTAAAAGTGGCTTTTCAATGCTACCTATAGCATCATTTTCATAAAAGTGTAAAAATGAGCTCATTTTCAGTTGCTTCCTTCCACAATGGTGAACGTAATTTACAAATTATCAAATAATGTAACAAAACTGGTCTTAGAAGGCAAATCCTTCTTCTTGCTTGCAAAAAATAGTCCATTTCCAAAAATAATGTCATCTCTTTTATGTGCTACTGGTACATCTTTGTCTGAGGTAATTGCCCAAAGACAGTTAACTGTTTGTTGGGGTTTTTTTTGCTTTTACATGTTGATGAACACAGTAAAAGTATCATAAGTTTCATGAATATTAAAGAAGCTCCTAAATTATATGCCAATAGAATCAATCTTTGATTAAATGAATTCCTAAATTAATCACACAGAATATACATATTCCATATAAAGAAGATTTTTTTTAAGTACGCAAGTATGTAAACTGATGTGGTTTTGCCAGTCAACTCAAAGTACTTCATCCTGTAAAAGGGATCTACTAGGGTTACCATACGTCCGGTTTTTCCCGGACATGTCCGGTTTTTCGGCAATCAAACCCCC